TTCGGTGTAGCACCTTGTTTTAGATGTAGTTTGACATAATTGCGTAGTATTGGTTTCTTGCTAAGTTTTGACTCGCATTGTTTGATCAGTTCTTGAATAGTATTGTCATAATCTTCTTCGACTAAGTTTACAAATCTATCTAGTATATTTCTAAAGACTGCTATCCAGGTCCTTCCTAACAGTGCAATCTTATCACTCTGGACTACATAAGCAGTTAAGATTTGACTTTTGTCTTCGAATTTTGCTTTGACTTTGGTAGTTCCTAAAACATTTATTGTGTTTCCATCATAACCAGTTAATTTAATATCTTATTTATTTAAGATTTTTACTCCAATCTTTTTCGCGATATGAATCGGTAGAATACTATACCTTGACCCGGTGTCGATCTGCATCAAAATAGGCATGTCGTTCAAATATACAGTGACCTTATAAGCATCGTTAGCTGTGTAATTATTATCGGTATCCATATTGTTTATGTCTAAATTGTATAAATTATATTCTTTTCTTTCTAGTTTGTCATTATCATGACAGAGGGCAAATAAAAAATAAAGTGTGAAATGTTAAACAGTGACACTCGTGTATTTTATCTTAACTTTAAAAAATTGTTATGTTAAACAGTGACACTCATGTATTTTATCTTAACTTTAAAAAATTGTTTTTCTTTTACATCCTTAAGCTATTTATGGCGTAACTTAATATATTTCAAATGTAATAAGAATTGTTTCTTTCTTTTTGTTAAAAACAACTTTTATATTTTAAAAATCAATTTGTTTATAAACTAATATTAAATTTTATAAATCAATTTACTTAATAAACTAATGTTCAATTTTTTATTTTAACTTTAAAAAAAAGATCAATTTATTATAAACTACATTAAATTAAATTGTCAATATATATAGGAAACTATTTTGAATTATGTGATCATTATATTTTTTAAATTTAAATATCAATAAATTGACGTAATATACGTTTATAACATTTGATTTCTGCCTTTGATTTCTACAACCTTTTCATGGTTCGGGAAAAGTCAAATCCTGTGCGTTCCTATTTTAAATTAGATATCATAAAAAATCAATCTATTTGCAAAATAGAAGATTGTGGTAAGGTCATAACTGGGGACCATGCTGCAAATCTTGAACGACATATAGAAAGATTCCACAATAGGGAATTCAAATTATTAAGAAAAAAGAAAGAAAATTTGACTATTAAAAAAATTCAAATAACGAAAACTGCAAACCAGTATAATACAATCCAAGATGCTTTTAAGTCCAACACTACTACAATACAAATCAATATAAATAGAGAAACTTTAATCCGCTCCTGCACTTAGCTAATAACAGTTCGGTAGGCCAATAAAATCAATTGACGACAAAGCATTTCGAAATATTATAGATCCAATAATTATAGGATTGGGTGGAAATTTAACTATCAATTCTGAAAATATACGCAATAATATTAAAAAAATGGCGTTAGATTTTTCGGAAAATATAAAAAAGGAAGTATATCAAAAACTTATTTCGTTAAAATTAGATATAGCAGCTAGATATGATAGGTCCATATTGGGGATCAATATTCAATTTATAAATAACGGAAAAATAAAATTAAGGACTCTATGCATGAAAGTTATTAAAGAACGACACACATCAGAATATCTTAAAAAAATTATTCTAGATGTTCTAAAAGAATATGAAATAAAAATTAAACAGATTTACACAATAACCACCGATAATGCAGCAAATATGATTAAGTTAATTAAGCTATTAATACTACACGATGAAGAAGATGATGACCTTAACGATTATTTAAATGATGATTTAAATAATAATGATATAGATAATGATGATTTAAATAATAATGAAATAATTCATGATGAAAATAAAGAACCTTTTAATATTGAAAATATTAATCTTGCAACAAATGCCAGATCCATATTAATAGGTAATAGATGTGCTTCACATACATTTCAATTAGCAATTAATGATTGCATTAAAAATTCAAATGAAATTGTCATTATAAATAAAGCAAGAAACATCTGCAAAAAAATAAGAAATCACACAACAATGGCTATTCTCTCAAAAATTAAATTTGAAAAATCCACTAATAGATTGTTGCACAAGATGGAACTCTATCTATTTAATGTTGGAGAGATTACTAGAGTTAAAAAGCTTTTGACAAGAAATATCGCTCCAAAGCGATCGCGAAAAATGTTTATCAGAGAATGAATGGAAAATAATTAGTGACATATTAAAAGCTTTATATCCAGTTTATGTTTTGACAAAATATTTACAAAGTGAACAATTGACAATGGGCGATTTTTATGCTGCGTGGATCAAATGTCTCATGCAAACGAGTAAAGTAGACAATCCATTTGCCAGACTTTTAGTTTCTACGATGAAAGCACGAGAAATAAATTTCAAAAATGAAGTTTTTTGCTCTGCTATTTATCTCGACCCTAGATATAATGTATTTTTAACTTTTGAAGAAAGAGAGATCGCCAGAAAACATCTTTGTAAAACTTGGAACTTGATACAAAATCTAAATAATCAGAATATTGAAATTCTAAATACTATGCCTACGTGTTCGTATTCAAAGGATAATTTTGATGATGATTTTGAAGATTTATTAAAGTCGTATGAAAGTCTTAATAAGAATAATTCTCAGGGCATCGAAAATTATAATAAATGTATAGAAATAGAATATATAATTCGGTCATTTGATAATATAGAGAGATTAGAAAGATACTTTTGAATTATTGGGAAAATGTAAAGAATAGTATGCCAGAACTTTATAAGTTAGCTATAACTGTGCTAGCAGTTCCATCTAGGCAGGTCTCCGTAGAAAGAGCATTTTCAAGCCTTAAGTTTATAATCTCTGCGCAGAGAACTAAATTAAATCCTGAAATATTAGAAAAATATTTTAGTTATCCGTTCGAATTCTCTTTTTAAACCTAAATAGTATAGTATACATATTATTTTATTCATTATTGTATTTACGCATGTTTGTTTTTATCTTATTTATTTATGAAATAAAAAAAAACTAATTTGTCTAATTTACATTTCCTAAATTTAATAAAAATATCTATTAGATTATCATGGATAAATTAAATAAGAAATTATAAACTAAAAAGATTTTTCTCTAAAATTAATATATACATGGTTAATGATTAATTTTTTTTAAAATTAAATTTATAAAAACCGGAACAAACCGAAAAGAACCGTTATAAATTATAAACCGAACCGAACCAATATGATTTTTTTTAAAAAAACCGAAATTGAACAAAACCTTTATAAAATTTTAAACTAAAAACCGGAACGAACCGAACCGTTATACTAAACGGTTAAAAACCCTGAAAACAACATATATTAATTTACAGAAAAAAGGTCCTTCAATCATAAACACGCGTCATAACACCCCCCCCCCTTCTCTTCCATGCTAAGGTACATATTTTAATAAGCTTTAAAAAATTTGATCTTCTTCATGATTTGTAATGATGAAGATGATTAACAAAACAGTCGAAGGATATTTATTTGAGATTCATGAGAAATTATGTTATAATTTTTATCTCCCTCCTCCCCAGATTTACCCTAAAAACAGAGATGAGAAACAATGTAAACACATCCTTTTATTAGCTTTCATCTGATACCCATGTGGAAATATATGTTATAAATATTTTATCCTTCCTGCCAGGCTCAGACTTGAAAGAAAGGACTATAACAATGATTAAATATATTTTTTAATTAGTTTTCCTTTAATACTTTTGTGGAGATTTATTTCAAAGTGGGTTTTTACATCGACCCGCTATCCCATATCAATGAGCTGTTATTAAACTTTGACCCGAGGGTCTAAAGGCTTCTATTTTACTTTTGTCTAGATATTTTTTGGAAAATGTTCACTCCAACTCCTTCATGACATAAAGCAGAAGATATCGAGTAATAATTAATTTTAAAACTCAAAAAATCATGATTATGCACTTAAATATAATTCAATTGTAAGAAAATTAAAATTTCTACTTGGCAAAATCATCTTTTGATAATTCAGTAAGAATTGTAGTTTTAATTCTGAGTAATTAAGGGAAAAAAAATAATATATGTTGAAGAATTAAACTACATGTATTTAAGCATTACATATTGGCTTAAACTAATAAATGCTTGATAAAATTTGGTAAACTTTCAAGTAACCTCAAAAGATCAAATAATATCTATAAGAAAATATATTGAAATTGAGATAATCTCTATTTCACTTATATGTAATTTATTTTCGAATTGCCACAAATACTTTCAAAAATATTGAATAGAATAATATAGAATATCTTCTATAGATATAAATTTGCAATTTATAATACCCAATGAGTAATGTTATATTTTTTTAATTAGCTTATAACTCTATTTTTGGTTAGTGACTTATTCATCAGACAATAAATATTAACCCAACCCAGATATCAATTACACCAGTAAAGATCAAGGTTTAACACTAATGAATTCAATGATTAATATATTAATAAAGCCTGAGTTCCCTGTTGCACTTCTTAATAAGATCATAAAAATATATGTTTCAAAATAAAATAGTAACTAATAGTAATTATCGAGATATTGACCTAGCCATAATATCTTGGCGATATATGTTTAGCGAAATAGCTTACGCTATATTGTTTTCGCTATTTAGATTTCTGGCTAATGACTTCGCTATAAAAAATTCTTTATGTTGTCTTTGCAGAATAGTATTCGCTAATAAGGATTCGTGATAAGTTTCGCTAAATTGACATTGAACAAAACTTTACCTCAATTCCTCTTTTTTTGTAAAAAATCTTTTATGATATCAAAAATTCTTTAAAAATAATTTTGCTCAAAATTTTATGATAAAAAATCTTAAAATAAATATTTGAAGATTGTTTTTCAAACTCTAGAAGAAAAAAATAAAAAATAAGGTTATTATTTATTTTTACATTAAAAATATGTTCAGAAATCGTGTTATTGGCTTATGAGAAAATAGATAATATAAACCTGTTTGTAAATTAATTTTGACAGTGGGTGATGTTGATCCATCGTCAATAGGCGGATTGTTGAATTGATTTTGTTTGGCCAGATGTTTGGAAGAGTTGTTAGTACTTTCAGTTTCATTGTTCAACTTTTGAATGAAAGCTCTGTTATAGTTAGGATTATGTGTTAAGGTTGTGTTATCTAATTTTCCTAAAATAAAATAGATAAATTATAAAGTTATAATTTTCATATCCATATAAAAATAATTAGTGTATGCATATTGTGAAAATATATTTAATTTACCAATATCTTATTATCGCCAGGATTAAGAAGTAAAACTCAAAATTCGTGGTTTGAGGTGATCAAATAGCATAAATGAAATTATATTAACTTCAATTTAGTTTCTTATCAAAAATTTCAATATATTCTAGTGTACAAAATTGTTATTCAGCTCATATCAAGGCTCAGCCTAAAAATGAATGGCCTGAGAAAAAATATTTTTGGATAGTGCAAAAAAAAAGTTTTTTTTAATTATAATGTTTAATTTTAGTGAAAGTCAAAGAATGGATTGGAGATAAATTAAAATACTAAACATGGCTGAACCCCAATATCAAAAGACCTGCGCAAAGTTATGACGTGGATGACACAATATCCAAACATTGAGGCGGAACATTATATTTGTGATAAAATCGAAAAAATAAATTCTGATAGTGAATATGTAAATAACAGCATCAACATCAATAGATAAAATCAATATAACTTTAAATGAAATAGGAATATCTCCTATTAAGAAAAAAAACTATCCGAAAAAAATTATCCAAAAAAAAGGCAGCAAAATTAACAAAAGCGATTACAGATATAATAATTAACAATCCAGATTCGGATACGAAAGATAATAATGATATACTCAATAACATGAAATTACAATATCCCAATTTATCTAAAAATAAAAAATATCAATTGCTGACATTCTGCCTCCTAATTGGAGCGCAAATAAAATAAAAACGACATTCAACGCTACATATCATATGGCATATAATTCCAAAATCATTTTAGAAGAAAAGGGAGTCTTTCAATTCCAAATCGAAAGCCTGCAAAATATCTCAATCAAAAAACAGTTGATATTGTTTAAAAAAATTTTTTGCATTGATAGTTAGTGGATATTACCAAAAGATTGCATATCTATCATTGAAAAGGGGGAACGAGTGAACGCTCAAAAAAGGTTAGTTCTTATTGGATTTTCGAAATTTGCTAGCTTAAGACCAAAAAATTGTATATTAGCAGGGGCTAGCGGAACACATAGTGTATGCGTTTGTAGCATACATCAGAATATTAAACTTATGATTTTAAGCTGTGAATTAGCAACATTGACTAAAAATGTTGAGAATACATTAACAACTTATAGAGATGTTATAGGCAGAATGATTTGCAATCCCCCGTTACCCACCTGTTATTCTGGTGACTGCAACGAATGTCAATATATCCACGTGAATATATTTGATTGAGGATCTGATAATCGATGAGATTAGAGGATATGTAACATGTGCATATGAAAACGATTGGTGGTTAGGATTTGTACAAGAAGTGAATGTAATTAGAGATGAAGTAAAAAATAATTTCTTCACCCTAAAGGACCAGCAAATTCTATGTTTATCCAGCTGCACAAAATATCCTTTTCATACCAAAAAATAATATTTTAACAATAGTTAGCCAATCAACGGCTACTGGGCGTACATATAATTTATCGCAAAACGAAATTTTCATGGCGTTAAAAAAACTAAATTTAATGAAAAACCGAAAATAGGTAATATCTTTCATGAATTTTAATTTATCCTATATATCTTAAGTATTTATAAAATAATTTTTCGAAAATTAAAATTTTTCAAAAAAAAATGATTATAACCGCAGCTAAATAATCTCATTTCATGATATTAATGCTGGAAAATCTTATTATTTATGTTTGAAAAAAAGTTTTAAAAAATAATAATTATAACAAAACACGTTATTTTATAAAGGAGCGCCATCTATTTTTGAAAAAAATATTTATTTTTTGATTTTTTAAATTAAATTTTTTTTATGAATAGATATAGGGTAGAGAATAAGAAAATATTAAATTCAGAAAAATTTGGAAAGCGAAACACCTGGAATTTTTATGTTTAAAATTTATAACGTAAATAAAAACCGTAACAATGTTATTTCAAAAAAATCCTTAATATTTAATAAAAGGCTTTTAATAGAGTTATAAAATGACATATAACTTATATTTTTAAAATCATTATTTTTTAACTTATCCAATATTTTTCGAAAAAAGTCATTTTTGGCACTTTTGACCATTGATATCTCTGGAACTATGAGTACTAGGAAGCTAAAATTTTGGATTCGATGTTTTCAAATGATATACTCTCAGCATGCAAAATTTTATCGAAATTAAAAAGGTCGGGCCGAAAAGTTATAGATTTGGTATGGAATTACCCGCAATCAATAGGCAGACGTGTATGGGAGAGACACACTCCACTGTTAATTTATATCAAAAATCAGCTGACATGATAAAATGCAATAATAGCTTCTTTTTTAAATAAAGCCAATTTTCCCTGTATTTTAGAACCTACATCCTTTTTAGATAAAAAGCCTTGACGGCAAAAACATCGTACCTTTTTTCATGGGGAGCCTTTAATCTTGGATTTCACATGCATTGATCCCATGGCTCCATCTAATAATTCCCATGATCCCCTAACAGAGCCAAATCTCTAAAAAATATAAAATACTCACACATAATGTGTGTTAACCACTTTATTCCCATAGCAGCTACATCAACCTGTCTTTTGGACAAGATCTATTCATAATATCCAAATCAATAAAAAAAATCATACCTTGCTCCATTTTACAAACTCAAGCAGAAAATCGCCGTATCTATAATTAGATCTAATTATCAAATATTTAAAACATCATGGCCCGACCTCGCTATTTGATATTTTCTTTTTTTTTAAATGTTTTTTTTCTTTTTACAAAAATATACATTTGTATCAATCTTTTTTTTAACTTAAACTGATATATGACATATTTTATTATACTCTATATTATAATTTTTTAAATAATAATATTTTATCATATTTGTATATGAAATTTAATAAAAAATTGATTTTTTTTTAAAAAAAAGTAAAAATAGATTTATAAATTAACGTATAAAAAAATATTATTTAGAAATCCATTAAAATATTATGTGGAAAAAAAATTTAATTATCACTTTCCATATTCATTTTATATAAAGGTTTGGGATTGAATGATTGGGATAATAAAATTTTCCAATATATATCTTTAATGACTTAGGTTAATTTTATGAAATATGGAAGCAAATTAAAAATGGTTAATTTTTTAATTAAATTAATTAATAAAACAAAGAAAATAAATTTAAGCCAATAAAGCATAATAAGTCAATAAAAAAAAGACTAATAAGCCAATAAAAATATAAAGTAATAGCAAAGTAATAACATATATAAGAAAGATTATATTACAAAATTTAATATAGAAGATGGCTAAGTGGAAGAACATTTGCCTTTAAATCGTTAAGTCATCGGTTCGAATCCCGTGATGTACAAAAAAATTTCTTAAAATTTAACATTACATCGATTATTTAACATTAAGATGATAGGAAAGTTGTTAGGAAAAATAAAAATTAACATTTTATATCTAAGAAAAAAAGCTATATTCTATTTTTAGGTTGGTTACCCTCATTATATCTATTATAATAATCTTCAAAAACCTTCAATCAAATTTAGCCAATAGTGTTCTTTTAAAATATATTTGTCCAATAATAATCGGTCCAATAAAAATCACCTTACAAACTAAACATTCATTCAGTCAGTTCTATTTATAAATCATATGGAAACTCTGAAAATATTATTATGATACTCAAATATATACCCAGATTTAAGAATAAACTTGATGGAAGATTTAAAGACTCAACTGTTAATATTTAATATAAAAATTTAAGGTATATCAGTGCATTTAATAAAACTCAATTAAGTGGCTTCCATCACCCAAAAGGGGGCATATCCAGTGGTAAAATTTACCCTACTGCCAGGGCCCATTTAATTAAAGAAGGATGATGGTAACTGATCCACTAAGTGACAATAATTTACCCTACTGTCAGGGCCCGGCAGTAATTTACATTGGTAAAAATTGAAAAATAAGAAAATATATAATTAATAAATAATCTGCTTATCTTTTTAGAGTATTTGTTTAAATAGATTAATGAAGGGCTTGGCCTGATCAAAAAACCAAGGCCCAAGAAAATCTGATATTGATTGTATTTTTAAATTCATTATGATTATTTAAATATATTGTTTCAGTTCTCAACAACCAAAATTATTATGATCTTTCATTGGGCTTGGAAGAATTTTTCAAAATTATTATGGCTTTGTACTTTGCCTGGGAATTTTTAATATTAAATATTAGGTATAAGTGATCAGTAATATTTAACAAATAATATTGGTATTATCAAAAGCTTTAAATTTATTTTTACTAAAGCCATATATTTACACTTAGTTTTAATGGAATGAACTTGGCCTGAAGGGGGGGGGGAGTATAAAGAATAAAAATTGGATATTATTTTGTAACAACTAGCATAAAAGTAATAAGAAAATTCTCATTCCGGGTCATTTTTGATTAGGTATCTACTAGTATATAAATAATCCTCAAAAATGGTTAATCAAATTTAGCCAATAGTGTTCTTTTAAAATATATTTGTAATACAAAAATGATTATAGAGTAATCGGTCCAATAGTAATCACCTTACAAACTAAACATTCATACACTTACCATTTCATTCATTTCACATGGCAAAGCAATGGTATCCAGATGGCACTTTCACGTAGTTTATATCAAAGTAAATTTTTAATATTAATAAATAATTTTTAATTGTTTTAGAGTTAGAAAATCAAACATTTTTTAATTGAATGCACTGAATACATGCCTAATATTATACATATTCCTGAATATTTAGGGATCAGTAGAACTTTAAATACATTAAGTACCAATTCAATAAGAATAAGATTTTAATTCTTGAATTTATGTATAATATAGAATTTTATACCATTATATTGGGGTTTCAGAAAGATAAGAGAGATGTAAATATTTACTTATGCATAAAAATTACCTAATTGAAAGATTTATAGTTTTATATAATTCAAAATTTAATAAATTATGAAATTGATCCTTCCTTAAGGGCTTTTAATAATGGAAGGCGCAAAACACACCTTTTTGTTAAAAAATGTGATTAAAAAATGAACAATCACTTATTTTTTATTAAAACATTAGCCAATGATCACATTTTAGTGTTTTTCAAAACTTCTGCAGTGTAACAGTTTGTTATTGTATTGGGGTTTACGATTCCTAAAATATATAATAAGTTGGATGCAGAAAACTGCATATAAAGCCATTAATATCATTCATTCTTAATCTCGTATCTTCATAATTAATATTTTCCACTTGCCTTTGAGCATTTGAATACATTTTTTTACAATAGTCCTCAGACCTAGTGAAATAACCAAATTCTTTTGTTTACCAGTTATTGTATGTAAAATTTCATCTTTTAAATTTGCTACTGTATATTTGATTTCCGATATCCGATAAGATTTAATGGGAGATTCTTAAATCTCTTGCAATGAAACAATTAATGTTTTCCTCAAAGATACTTTTCGTAAAATCAGAAAAAATGTTGTAGCTATATTTGACAGTAGTTTCGTTAATGTTAATAATTCCTTTAAATAGCTCACAAAAATAATCGGATTTAGTTAAAAAGCTAAGTGTCATTGACATATTATTTGTGATTTTCATAATTTGTTTAACATAGTAAAAAACACCTGAGTTTCTTAAAAAAATTAATTATTTTTATGTAATGGATTCAATGGCTATCTAATGATATAAAATATAAATTTCTATCATTTATATTTTTTTATATCTGTTTTTTTAAATAATGAAGGACGCACACCATATCTCCGGAACTAATTAAGTTAGCTTAAAAAATTAAATTGCATAAATTTTATTATAATGACGATAAGATAACATGATTGTTGCAATTCTTCCTACATCTTTAAAACTAACTGTCCCCTCAAGTTTAAATGAATAGGCCCAAAGCTAATTCCATTTGATAATGTTAAATTTTTTAATTTAAAAGGATAAAATATTGTTGATAATGAAAGTATAGAATATTTTATATAATCCAATAATACATTATATTTAAAAATGCTTTTTATTAGGGGTGTATCCGATATTTCCTATATTAAATTGATATCGGCCGATTACCGATCCGATATCATATCTAATTTTGTATTATGTAAAGATACCAATGGTTTTAATTTGTAATATACTTTTAATTAGTATAACATCTATAATTTAATTATAGATTAACTTATGTCATTTAAATATATTATAATGATCAGTTATAGTTTATATTCAATTCTAAAAGTATATAAAATATTTTTATTGTTAAATCACTTTTTAAGTAACAACATTAATCTATATACATAATAAGTAATAAACAAATATATTATGAACTTTGAATTAATATTTAAAATAATATTTAACATTAATATATCGAAGATTTTTTTTTATAAATACCAAAATTTCCAATTTATCAGAAATCAGCCTGCAGCGATGGTAACTGTTAACATCACCAGCTTCACTAAAAACTGATTCTGGAGAGATTATCGTATACTTTTATAAACAGAATGTGCAAAAAATAACAATATGGTCGAATGTTTATTAATTATTATTATAAAAAAATATGGATTTCGATTTTTTTATAAAAATATATGATTTTAGATATAACCTATTTTAAAAAATTTATAACATTTTATTTTTGTTAAAGATGCCATTTTATATCGGATAGGCAAATTTTATAATAATGGCCGATGACCGATATTTTAACATAGGTGAAATATCGGCCCGATAAAAAATATCGGTACATCCCTACATTTTATTATATATAATCTTGCACTTACATCAAGTGCTCCAATAGTTGTTCAGTCTAGGAAAGCCCATTTTTGGAGGAAGAGTGGTTATTAATCAGAAATTTTAAAAATAGTTTGTTAAGGGGCAAATAGACATTTAACTAATTTTATATATTCTATTTTTAATGCTGTTTATATTTTAAACATGAAAGCAAAAACATGAGATTACAGTTTATTTATATTAATATAGATTGGAGTGGCCTAAAATTTTATTTAAAAAAAATAGGAGAAACTTATCATTTTTATTGGGATTGGATAAATCGATCACATTAAAAATAATTCTAAAAAATAGAATGCATACTTTTTATTTTGATATTATAATCATTATTTATAATTCTGTAGTGTTTATTATATATTTAATTGAATGGCAATCGTTAAGCATAAAAATAGGCAATTCTCATATTTTGCCCCTGATTCTCCTAATAAGGATGCTAAAATTTGAATACTACTTTAGGTACTGTACTTTCTTAGAAAGTATAAATGTCACCCAAATCACCAAGGTTCCATAAAAATCATTCTATTATTGAATTCCCATAAAAATACTAAATTATTATTGTAAACAAAAAATAAACCCTTTTCACAGCATAATAGATTTCTAGGGTCATTGGATTTTTGATCATCTGCATTATTCAAAAAATCTTGGTTAATATGGATATCATTAAGGAAGTTTGTTGATCTATAAAACATTAACATATGAATTATAAAAATATATTTTAATTAGATTATAATATACCACGCCCTCTATGGTATTATTCAGTTGGTTAATTATGCCACCTTGTAAAGTATTATTTAGTCTGTAGACCATACTAGGTGTTATTTAAGGGTCATTCCATAACAAATCAACAACGATTCGGCCGATCCCTTTCGATTTTTTTAAAATTTGGTAAGCAAATAAAGGTAAATGTAACTAATGTGCCTTCATTCAATCATAATTGTAAATAACAAATTTAATATCAAAATTACGTACAAAGATTCTACTAATTTCCGGATATTTTATTTAATATGTAAGGACTAAAAACAATTTTTTGGAAATAATACGACCTTCAATTTTTAAAAAAAATTTAGTAGACATTACTAAACTCTTCCTTTATATTTATAAAAAAAATTAGTCTGGGACGCGGCTATCCTCATTCTCAAAATCGATAAAAATGTTTAGAAGTGTATAAATATTTTCCCGAATGGGGGTGTCTTTGTATAAAATTATAAGTTTTTAATGGTTTTTCTTGAACTATTTGATATGATTTAAAGGATTATTCATCTTGTAAGTGAAGATAATAATAAATGGGGCTTTCATTCAATTATAGAAATTGTGTATCGATAAAGAAATTCAATTTACTAAATTATTTATAATTTATTATATATTTGCCCATATAACATATATTTAATGAATCGCCGGGGTGGCCCAATGGGTTAGATGTATGCTTAGAAATAAAGTACGAACAAGGACGCAGGTTCAATCCTGGTAAGGAGCATAAAAACTCTCGAGTTTTTCTTCGATGACTGATGTGTAAAGACATATGGTAATATGAATTTTGGAGCTTAGAGATGACACCCCGGTCACCGACAGACCTGGACAGCCGGGTGCTAAGGATAGCTGTCCAATAAACAAAATGAAGGAAACAAATAGAAATATGAAAGCTAGTGCGTCACCCCCCCAAGCGACGCGCAGGGTGTAGACCTCCATCCTGTGAAAAGTAAAGTAAAGGTCAAAGCAAAGACAAGATTAGCAAGTTTGAATATTAGGACGCTTAAAGGTAAGACGAGAGAGTTGGCATGTTGATATAGCGTGAATACAAGGGACGAAATGGAAAGGTCAGAAAACTTTAATGATTGGAGATGGGTATAAATTATGGAATTCGTCGGTTCCTCAGTCAAGATCTAATTTCGTAGTAGAAGTCAACAGGATCTCTGATAATTCTGCATTGAATACTACACATCCTTTCAGTATATGCTCCTCAAACGGGTTGCAAAGAAGAAGAGGAAGATGACTTTAAAGCTATCCTTGATGAAGCTGTAATGGAGATCCCTAAGGATGACCTAGTCATAATAGGTGGTGACTTAAATGCACATGTGGGAAAAGCAAGAGATAGCTACAAAAGGTATCATGGTGGTTTTGGTGGAGAAAAAAATGATGAAAGAGAGCATATACTGAAATTTGCGCAAGCCTTCGATTTTGCCTTAACCAACACCTACTATAGGAAAAAAGACAGTCATTTAATAACATACGAAAGTGGTACAAGGAAAACACAGATAGTACATGCTAATCTCTCGCAGAAAATATAGACTGCAAAGTCATCCCAGGAGAAGATATAGCCGCGCAATACAAGCTACAGTCATGGATTCACACATATAATAAATCCACACAAAACAGATAAAACTGAAACCATGCATCAAATGGGGTAAATTAAAAACAATGACAGATGCCTTTGCAATCAATGCAAACATTGAAACATTAGATATTAGCAACTCTACTTGATCCCAGATTTCAAAATCTTAAAGTTATTTCAAAATATTTAAATTCGATAAATCTGAATTCTGACTTAGTATATTTCATACTTTATATTTTTCTTGCATTCCAAATTTATTTTAATTATAATAAAAATCAATTGAATATTTCTTATATGTGTTGTTGATGTGACTCGATCTGAGTAAAAATACAATTCCTTTGTTTATTTCTGAGAATGAGAAAATACATAAATTTAACTTGGAGTGATACAGGAAATAATTTAAGATCAATTAAACTATGTTAACAATGTGTTAGAAAAGATCAGCCAAATAAATTATAAAAAAATGTAATACATTGATTTATAAATTAAATTCATTAAAAAATAAACTGATTTATAAATTAAATTCATTAAACAAAATTTTAAAATAAATATTGTGCCAACACTGCCGACAATTTAATAGGCGGCGGCAAAATCGGCGCACCACTGAATGCCAATAAAAAAATTAAAAAATACCGCCACCGTCGATTGAGACATCGGTGCACAGGTCTACCTATGACTAATTATATCAAGATATTAACACTTTCTAGTTATTTTTCATAAGCTTCATAATTTTGGCAAATCAAGTATGCAAAATTTTATATTAATAAAGCATTCATTTAGTTCAATTTATCCCAGGAATGCTCCTATGTTATTCTTTAAGTTAAACTTCTATATATTTGTTAATAAATTGCCCTAGATAAATTTAGTGAACTAAATGTATCTCATCCTCCCCAATCAATGTAACCTGCTTACATTAGAAGAGATGAGATTAAAAAATAAACAAATACAAAGGCCTTAATAATTTCATATTCTTGCCAATAGCTACTTCTAACAACAAACAGTTTGCTCATATCACCTTTAGTTATTTTTTAAATTTGGCTTATGAAATAATATTACAAACACTTACCTAGGGAATTCTTATTCCTTAGGCAGAATATACAAATAAACATTTTTATATATAACTATTTGTTTTTTTTAAAAACTTAGTTCAAATTTTTTTATATTCTTTTCTTATATATCTTGTGTTTTATATATAGCAGATTTATATTTTTTATTAATTGGTAGAAGAAATTTTTATAAAATTGAATTACATTTTTATCTCCCCATTGTTTTCATTTAAAAAAAATATTTTAAAATTATATAGCCATATTTTTATTAGCTTCTTGTTTTAATTGGATAAAATAACATTGATTTGAATTTTCACTTAAACAAAATTTTACTAATTTTATTAGGTATTTTGGACATAAAAACATCAGTTAAGAAATTCAATTATTAAATTTGTAATCAATTTAATCATGCTATGATTTGCTAAATTAATTAAAACATCCATTTCAAATCCATTTATAGAACTTCCAATTCTTTGGAAGAATTTAAAACATTAATAAATTTAAGTATAAAATAATAATTATTATAAATTGGTGGCAAAAATTTAACCAGTAAGAGGAGCATGGTGTGGTTTAGATACTTCCTAAAAATATGTAGATTATAACAAGAAATGGAGAACTACCAATTTTTTTAGCTGTTTTAATGCCAAAAAATTAGGCATATGTCAATATTGAAATGGCCTGGTTATAACTTCTGAATTAGTACCAGATTGAGAGCTAAATTTTATAATAAACATCTTACAATATATAAAAATTCTTAAACAATAAGTTTATTGCCTTAATAAGAAAAGATTTGTAGGATCATATTGGCAAAAAAATTGGTTAAAATCAATCCAAAACATGGAGGCTGATTTCATTTGCCAATAATGACTCCTCTCTAAAATAATTCTGCTTGATAACTAACTTATTTAAAGTTTATATTAATTGAAAGATGGTGATTTTGCATAAAATAACTGTCAATCTCACACCAATTCCAAGATATTAACATTAAGTGTATATAACATATATTGATAGATTATAATAGATGATGATTTTAGTTAAAATTAGTTCATTCTTATAAAATATTATGATTACTTTCTGCCTTTGCTATTTAATTCCTTATCTTGCATAATTTGAGGTTTTTCCCATTGTGATACTTCTGTACGATTGTTAAAATAATATTTTCTACCTGATCTACTCATATGTTCACTCCAATTACAATAGTCATATATCTATATAAATAGTAAACATTATTTGAAATTTAAACAATTTGAAACCTCTTTTTCATTTATATGATTAGAATATATATGTTCTCTTTTATCTAAAATATTCATATTAAATATACAATAAACAATAAATATAACCATTATCCTGGTAAACTTTTTTAACAATTGATGATATAGCTGGTGTCAAATGATGTTTTTCTTGATCAAATTTATAAGATATATGGACTTGTTTAAGTCGCTTATCTTTTTTTTGTGAAATATGATTTTCAAAGTGTGTATTTTTATAATTTTTAATATCAATCCTTGTGTCGTACTCTCTTTTCAATGTGTTATATACACCATAATTATTGTATTTATCTTTGGAAGTCATTTTTATCATATTATAATCAGTGTAAATATAATTTGGTACTATAAATATTTTGAATAACTTATTGAATTTTTTACTCTTTTGAAATAAATCAGATAAAATTGATTGGGATATATATATAACTGGTGGCATAGTTTTGATTGGTAATATTTTTTTTATAAAGTCTTGAAATAACGAGAATATATATTTTATTTTTCATCTAGGTTATGATTTAATAAAGGTACTAAATGCATTAAAATATATATTTTACTTATACTATGGAAAGGTAACGTTTTTAAAAGCGTTGACAGCGCTGTTAGAAATAGTAAGTGTATAACAATTTTTAAAGTCATAAATATAAGTTTTTAATAGGCAAAATATTAGATGATATTCCAGCCATTTTTAGAAATTTACATAATTATGCACGTAATCAACCAGCAAACCGCGAATGTAAAATTTCATTTAAAAAAATTAGAACTAGGTTTATTAATAATAATCCTAAATATCTGTAAAATATAAAATCAAATTAAAATGTTAAAGTTAGAAAAATATTATCACTTCCGTTAAAATATGTATAATAAGTGTTATAATATCTTAAGCATTGCTGGGTACCAGTGTTGTTAAAATAGCGCGCTACTTTTTTCAGTAGCGGTAGCTATAGCGCGCTACTTTTTTAAAAAAATAGCGATGGCGGTAGCTCGCTACTAATTTAGAAAGTAGCGAAGTAGTTCGCTACTTTGCTACTTTTAATTTTACATAATAAATACATCTAAAAATAATTAAAATATATTTTTTATAAAATCTAAAATTATAATCCTTTTATTTAATTTAATTTTGAAATTTATATTTATATTTCAAAATATACATTATTGTTATATATTAGATATAAACAGTTGTTAAATAGCAATCTGTATTTAATTTATATTTCGCGCATTCATTAAATTATATATTTTTGAAATTCCGTTATTGATATGTCCTTGCTTTTATCTTATTTTATATTTCATTTTACATTTTATATTAAGCATTATAAATCTTATTATGTGTGAGATAGTGTTGTTAAACGTCTCGTTTTGAGCCGATTTTTAAAAACGGCTAACTCAATATTTCATCCAGAATAGTATTACGCAAGCCTGAAGATTTTGTTTGTAGAAGGAATAAAGGTTTGGACATCTATTAGCGAAATCTCGAGGCTTAGGGAATATTTTTCTGGCTAAAATATTGAGTTAGCCGTTTTTAAGGCTCAAAACGAGCCGTTTAACAACACTAGTGTGAGATTGTTGAAGATATTGAAATTTCTTTGGAAAATGAGCAATATAGATGATCCTTTCCCAAAATTCAAGAAATACTTTAACCTTGAAGAAAAAATTAATACTGGATATCGGTTTCGGTGCAAGATGTGCCGCAAAATTATCTCTTCAAATCATACGAGCAGCTTTAATTTGAAAAAACATTTAAAGGTAATATATTAAACAAATTTAATATCAATGTGTAGGCTAATCTTTAATTTTTAAAATAAATTAAAATAAAAAACCAATCATTTTTTGTATATATTCATAAATTTTATCTAAATTATTTAAAACATTTTAAAATAGTTATTTCAATCATTTTTATGTACTTATCTCCTACATAATTTTTATTCTAAGTATTTTATAATTTTAGACTGTGCACACTTCAAATTATAAAGAGATTGAAAAATATCTCAAAAGTTTTGCGGTAATGGAAGAAGATAAACCCACTTTCAAATCAAATTTAATACAAACAAAATTAATCAATTTGGATTCATCAACACCTGGTGTATCCCAAAAATTGGCTGACAAAGTCATTATGAACTTTATAATAGATACAGTTCAACCATTATCCTTGGTGGAAAATGATTCTTTTATAAAGATGATAAACACTTTTTCTCCACGGACCAAGATATTTTGCCGGCAGATTGATAGCAAGAATTTTGGAGAGCTTTAAGGAAATGAAAGAATCTTTGATATTAAATCTATCAGATGTCTCCTACGTCTGTACAACGGCAGATTGCTGGACTCACAATAGAAGGTAAAAATGTTTATTTTCTGATTTATAATATTTCATATTTTTAGAGCTTATTTAGGAGTAACTGCACATTGGATTGATCCTAAAAATCTTAAACGAAAATCTAGCGTTAGCTCTAAAGAGAATAATTGGCTGTCAGACTTATGACATTCTAGCCAATATTATTGCAGAAATCCATAGGTCTTACAAAATTCAAAACAAGGTTTATAAGATGATTACGGTTAATGGGTCTAATTTCCTGAAGGCCTTCAGGTTTTAAATTTATTATAATTTTTTATAATATGATATAAATAATATAGAATATTTGGGGAAGATAATAATAATAACAATACTAGTAATATTCCTGACAAAAATATTGAAGATGGAAAACAAGAAGAGGATGATGAAATGGAGTTTGAGATAATTGATGTTCATGACATCCTTGGTTTTAAATTATTTTATATTTAATTTTTCACCAATATAAAATAAAATTTATAATATTTAGGATCTTCAATAAAGTCTTCTATGTTACCTAGCCATCATCGTTGTTCCTGGCACAACCTAAATTTAGTTGCAGTGGATGCTGAAGAAGCATTTTTAAATGAGGATTTAAAAGAGTATCAAGATCTACATTTTCTAAATGCCAAGCTCTTTGGAATAAACAAAATAAGTCATCAAAGACGTCTGATTCAAAAAAAAATTAGGACGTTATTTATTGACACCAAACACTACAAGATGGAATAGTGTTTACAATGCTATGAAACTTTTAGCATTGTTTCTAGATGAGAAAAAAATGGAAATGAATTATATATTGGATCAAATGGGAATACAGTATTTTAATGTGGAGGAGCATACTTTTATTAAAGAATATACTGAAGTATTTTTAATTAACCTCTAGATGCTTTTTTTAAATCTAAAAATACTAATTTAAATATTTTTGATGATTTTTTTCATATAAAAAGTTTGTTTATTAAATTTAATACTGCGTTGCCCTCAAGTGCTAGTGCTGAACGATTATTTAGTATGGCAAAGCTTATAATTTTAAACGTCGATCTAGACTTGGGGATGACAGTACTGAAATGTTATTATTATTAAAGTGCAACAATAAATAAATTATATATATGTAACAAATTATAGTCATGTTTTTATATCAATATTTTATTTGTGGAAATAAAGTTACGTAAAAAAAAATATTTTAAAAAAAAATCAAAGTAGCGTAAAAAGTAGCTACTAGCGCGCTACTCATTTGAAAACGATAGCGGTAGCGATAGCGCGCTACTTTTTTTTAAAAATAGCGGTAGCGATAGCGCGCTACTTCTAAAAGTAGCGTTTAACAACACTGCTGGGTACATTCTTTCTAATAGTGTCGTTAGCTTTTTCAACTTGATGAACTCATTATAAATTTGTGTAATAAGTATTATTATGCCTAAGATTAGAGATCTGCAAAAGTAGGCCCGGCCCGGCCTGACCCGAACGGGCTTCGGGCCGGGTCGTGTCGGACCTTGAAATTTTTTTTAAATATATCTGAATTTATCAATTTTATATTAAATTTTTTTTTTGTATAAATAAATATATTTGATTTTATTTAAAAAACTAGACGTTATATAACATATATCTTTTATTTTGAGTAATTATAAAAATAAATTTCTATATTTAAAAATTTTTTGGGCCGGGCTTGAAAATTAGGCCCGATGCAGATCACTACCTTAGATATTGCTGAGTACATTCTCTCTTTATAATAGTATCGCTAGCCTTTTTAACTTGATGAACTCATTACTTATAAGTGAGAGAAAAACTATAAGGAAATTAGAAGGATGAGGGAATCTCAAATTTAGTCTTTTAGTGAAAGACTCTTAGTAAAACTTCTTTTATAATTTTTTATTAATACATTAGTATAAACATATATGATTTTTTGAAATTTGGTGAATTGAGCATTTTATATGTATGAATCAGTAGTAGTGTTTTTAAAAAGCCCAATTCGGGTTGATTTAAAAAAAAAAAGGCCCGATTAAGATTATAACAAAAATAACATTATATAAGCCTAAAGATTTTGCTTAGCATAAATGCTTATGCTTACAAAATATTATTTTAGCTAAAATCTTAATCTAGCCATTTTTAAAAATCTACACTAATTGAGCTTTTTAACACTTCAGTTTATCGTAACAACCAAACATATATGACATATTTCTCTTCGATTGGCTTTAATTGGCATGTGACCTTTATATACTTTATGGAATAAATCAATTAAGCATCTTGATTGCAAGATTGCATTGCTATCAGGTGCATTTCCAATCATATATGACACAATAAATATTATGAATAGGAGATGACACAAGAAATATGTATTCTCCAAGTGTCTAAGCACATAAACTGTGAAAGTGAGAAAATAGGCACCACCGTCATTTATTTCTCTGTGGGGGAAGATAATCACTTAATCTATCTAATACCAAAAAATCAATTTCTCTCATATATTAAGATGTAATCTGTTGAATATGTTGATCATTTTATTATTTATTTTGGCAATTGATTTATTTTATATTATATCAATTTGTATTTAATTTTAATCGGTGAAAATTTTATATTAACATTTTTTTATACATCAATTTGTATTAGTTATTTTTTTTATTATTGTTTAAAAAAAAGATATATAAAGAGATAAAAAAATGTAATTAATCTTAAAAATAAAAATGTAATTTATCATATAATAAAATTTAGTTTAATCTTAAAAATAAAATGATAATCAAATAATAAATGTGGATATTAAACAATTCTAATGGTTGCCAAGACGAGTCTCGAACTCGCGACCTTTGCGTTATCAGCACCACTCAATAAAGAATGTAAATTCGATGGCATTCAGAGAATTATTGAGAGTGAGAGTATCCTCGTATTCCAAAGTTGTCAGGAAAGCGGTCAAGAGCTCTATGACTATAGAAGACATTTACAATCTAGGTCTAGAGGAAAACACCGATGACCCAAGTGGCATCAAGGGTGAGATGAAATTGTTTTCATTTGAATGAATAACCTGGTGTACAATAGATTATTCACATGGGCAGAGTCATAAATAGTTATGTAACAACAAAACCTATTAAGGACTCTCACGCACATGGTAAATCTCTTATCAAGCAACCCCAGTTCATTAATGACAATCGCCCCGCACAGCATTTCGATGAACGTTACGATATACGCTACGACAACGACAGCGACAAACGATTCACCGGACGGCACAGCAACTTCCACGAATATCGTTTTGATCAAAGCTACGATAATTGTCACTATAACCGCAACCGTTTCGATAATAGAAACGATAACTACTACGACGATCGATACAACAATAGCGGGTACAACGTCCATGGCAATCGCCACGACTCTCATTGTGACCATCATCAAAGCCCTGATCGACGGAATGACTGCTATAGAGGTGATAACCGAACAAACTAGTCCCGTCATGGTCAGCACAGACACAACCCTCAAAATATTAATGGTTTTCCGAAATATTCGTCGCCAACCAGTACAAAATTGACAATAATACTTACAATAAATCTTCTCATTACAAAGATCGTGATTGTCAATTGAATACGAACCATGCTATGAACATCGAAGTAATCGATGATGCCGACGACTCAAACACAGACCTTAAAGAATATAATCTGCAGAATTTGGAAGTGTACAATATGGGGGTCAAGGATATCACATATGACGCGTACAACGTGACAGTGAGCATCAACAACATACTCACGTTGATGCAAGTTGACACCGGCACCAAGTTAAGTGTAGTATACTTCCGAAGCTGACAGCTAAGACTGTAGGCATAACCGCGATACGTAAGACGGACATGAGACTTACTGGTTATGACGGCAGCGCTATCAATATATTAGGTCTTGCCATTTTAAACGTTAAGTATGAAGGAAACTCACATACACTGGAGGCCATTTTAGTGGATTGTGATAAGATCCCCCTGCTAGGGCGTATGTGGCTCCACACCTTCAACAACATTTTAAAAACGTTCTTAGTGGGTAATGTTGAGAATGATCTCGAGATAATAATCTCGACAACAAAAAAAAGACCTCGAATCAATTACTCCTACAAGCCCAAAATGGTCAGACAAGAGAAAGTTCACTTGAAGCCCGATGCTGTGCCTAAGATCATACCTTCAAGGAGAATTCCGTGCGCCAAGATCGATGCAACGACTCAGAAATTGAATTTCTGGCTGAAGCACGACAAAATAAAACTTGCTCGAAAGGAATCTAGATGTCCGATGCCATGCACAAGCGACCCGGTTTGGAAATTAGCTAGGGGTTGTCTTTACTTTACCAAGCCATCGTTCGGCTTGATAAGAAAACTGCACCAATGGGTGGCGTATTGCGTGGTGATCATGAATGTTAATGACGTTACCACTCAACTTATCCAAGGAAATCATAAGCCGAATTTCTTTGGAGGGTGGAATGTTGAATGTGTTGATATATGTTATTTTATTATTTATTTTGGCAATTGATTTATTTTATATTATATCAATTTGTATTTTTAATCGGTTTTATATTAACATTTTTTTATACATCAATTTGTATTAGTTATTTTTTTTTATTATTGTTTAAAAAAAAGATATATAAAGCAGAGTTGTACATTTGCTCAAAATAAAAAGATCTTCAAAGATCTAGATCCTTGAAGATCATAAAATTTGAAGATCTTTTATTTTTTAAAAATTTTGTGTAACGATCTTCAAAGATCTTCATGATATTTATTTTTTTACCCCTTTATTAAAAGCCCATATGTTTTTCAATTTTATTAATATAATATTTCTTTTATGTTTTATACCTCTCCTCCTGCCTTGATGAAAATTGAAAAACATCTGGGCTTTTAATAAAGGGGTAAAAAAATAAATATCATGAAGATCTTTGAAGATCGTTACACAAAATTTTTAAAAAATAAAAGATCTTCAAATTTTACGATCTTCAAAGATCTTGCTCAAATTTTTGAGCTAGATCTCGCTCAAAAATCTTTAAAGAAGATCTTTTGTACAACTCTGATATAAAGAGATAAAAAAATGTAATTATTCTTAAAAATAAAAATGTAATTTATCATATAATAAAATTTAATTTAATCTTAAAAATAAAATGATAATCAAATAATAAATGTGGATATTAATCCAATTCTAACATAATCATATTTGGTTGATCAATATTAATATATACCTTATGTTTCGAATTCCATCGACTTTATTTAGAGGATATATTCCACAAACAATATATTTTTCTCGTAAGGTTTTATAAAAACTCTATGACTTTTTTTCCTTAGTTTATAGATCAATGAATATTTTTCAATTTATAATTATTGTTACTTTATACTCCTATCGTTCTACACAAATTTGTGGATAAACTATTATCTATTAATAGTGCTAGTTCTTATATGTTAGAAATAATTAATGTTACAGGATTTTAACTCCATGGGGACTAATTTTATTGTTATCCATCCCAACATAACTATCAAAGTTTAAAGGCTATAGACAATACATAGAACTCAAACTTTTCACATTTGGACAAAAGCTCAACATGTTGGGAAATATTGAGTGCTCTTTTGTTTAGGTTATTTTCATATGATTTTAAAATATTTTTTTATAATTTAGCAAGGGTTTAGAAGTAAACCGAAGAATTATTGAGGTAAATTAATATTAAAATTGCATTTTAATTTTGTTTTTAATGCAAATAGTGGTATTTTTATAGTATCAATTCAAGGAATAAGAAGAGTAAAAGTTTCATTCTTCATAATTTTAATTTAGGGTTATATTGATAAAAGATTTTGCAAATTATTTTGGCTTAATATTGTTCTATTCTAAATATTATATAGACAAAGATAATAAAAAACCTCTGAATATTTTTATATCAAAATGGAATAACAATGAAAATATAATGAATACAGATGATTTATTAGATTTAATCGTTGCTCATTTTATATCAAACTAGTAGATAGCCCGTCAAAAATGACGGGGAATGAGAATTTTTTTCTTATATTTATGCTAGATGTTACCTGTTATTTGAAAATTATATCCAATTTAATTCTTTTTACCCCCTCCCCTCTTCAGGCCAGGCTCAATCTATTAAAACTAAGACTAAATACTATGGTTTGAGTAAGAATAAATTTAAAGCTTTTACTTGATAATACCAATATGTTAAATTTACTGATCATTTATACATAATATTTAATATTAAAAAAAATTCCCAGGTAAAGTACAAAGTCATAATAATTTTGAAAAATTCATCTAAGCTGAATGAAAGATCATAATAATTTTGGTAGTTGAGAACTGAAATAAAACATTTAAATAATCATAATGAATTTAAAAATACAATAATAATCAGATTTTCATGGGCCTTGGTTTTTTGATCAGGCCGAGCCCAGGCCTGCAAAATAATTTGTTTTAGGCAAATGTCTGACCCATAGTTAATAATAAAAAAATTATCAAACGTCCAAGCTCATAATTTTCCCTATGCCCAGCCCAATATAATTTATAAAAAATATTTTCCAAGCCCAGTCCAACTCATAATAATTTTATAAAAAATTTTCTCAAGCCTGTCCAACCCATAGTAATTTTCAAAATTTTTTCCCAAACCTGGAGATAGGTAAATCTCTAAAAACCATATCAATTTTTTATTCTATCTTAACCCAGCTCACCCCTACCCATTTAGACTAAGAGTGAATACTATTTTTTGAATAAAAAAAATATTTAAATTAGCTTTTACCTGAGGGCCATATAAATATTCTGTGTTAAATATTACACCTATGCCTAATATTAAAAAAATTTCCAAGCCAGGTCCACGCACTTGTAAAAATTTTCTTAAACCTGCCAAAGACCATAATAATTTTGGTAGTTGAGAACTGAAATAAAATATATAAAAAGTCACAATGCATTTAAAAATTTGAAGTATTAGTAAGTGGACAATTTTTACAAAATTATTTAATTCTTTTATTTATTCTTCAAAATATTACACTACTAATAATCTCTGCAATTTCTCTTGGAATATCTGTCAATTTTTTCTTAAACCATACAATAAATATATTACAATAACTTAGATCGTAACATTGCTGGAAAATAAGGATCTACTATATGTCAAACAATATATATGGTTGAAAGAAAATATTGATGATATTACCAAATATTCTGTGTCAATTTTCAAATTGACAACAAATGTAAAATATTAAAAGACAAAAATATAAAATAGTTTTAATTTTAGGAATCTAAAAATTGACATCTCGGAACAGTATTATTTTATATATGTATATAAAATTAACTGCATCATACCTTAATGAAATTCTATCCCTATGTCTAATGATTCTGTATATTATGTTACTATTATTTGTTATTTATTATTGAATAATAGCTAGATCAAGATAATGCCAACAAAGAAAATGAAAACCCTATAGTTATTAATAAAAATATTCCTATTCCTACTCTTAAAAGATATTATATAATTTCTATTATAATTTTATTATATAACTCAAATATAATAATTTATATATATTTTATGGAAAAATTATCTTTCAAAATAAAAGTTATTATTAGTTTTCCAATTGTTTATTAAATATTGATACAATTATTTACAACATATATTTATTTATTAAGTATATAAATAAAATTTAAATATAACCATTATCAAATAATAAGTTCATATAAAGTTTAATAACTGAAAGGTAATATATAATAATAAATACAATTTAATATTTACATATCTTTTAATAAATAACTAATAATTGAATCATATCAAACATTTTGAATTTAATTTTTTTAAAACTTAAATGTGTCCAAGATGTTGTTATTAATGTAAAAATTTTAAAGATTTTTTTAAAACATTTTGGACGCAGCTTAAAATAAAATTTTAGTTAATTATTATTCAATAAATTTTTGGATTTAAAGAAAAGTTATTTGGAGAATAGAATAATATTTCTTAAAATTATAAAAATAAAATTTGGTATCTATTCTATCTCCAATTTTGGAATAATAATAAAAATGATTTTTTTAGAAAGGAACTATTAAATATACACATGAATTTCATATAAAACCTACACTTATCATAAAAAATTATTTAAATGCTTTTAAGACCTTCATAAATACTCTTTTAACTTCTCCCTTAACAATCAATCTTAATTGCTATGTATACCTAATAAATTAAGACCCTGGATACAAAAATTTTCATGGCTCAGTTATATATTTTTCATTTTATCAGACTTTAGATTTTTATAAGTAAATTTATACCCTATTTTTTTGTGACATTATAATTTACTATGTTATTTATATATATATTATTTTATTTAGATAGGAATAACAATAAATTCTCATATACCTAGGAATCTTAATTATAATGTTTTGCTTCTGGACTGGTATTTTTCATAGGATAAGGTTTCATAGTTTTTTAAGGTGTTTGATATTGGTTTTTCTAACTCTAAAATAATTAAAAATTATTTATTAATATTAAAAATTTACTTTGATATAAAGTGCTTACCATCTAATGAGCCAGGTCAAAATATTTTTGTGCAATCTAAAAATATATTAATATATCTAAATTTATAATACCTTCTCCCAATGATCTCTAGTTGGAACTGACATATGAATATCTTTTAAAGTTTTCCATATAGCATCACATACCTCTGGAATGATGGTAACAAAGCATTTCGCTTATTCTGCTTTTTAAATTGGTTTGTTTTTTCTTATATTGGTAGTTGGGTTTTGTTGAAGAATCTAATAAAAATAATATAATTATAAAAAAACTGAAAAAATTATACTTGGTTGCTGGATATCATTGCTATGATATGTGAAGTGAATGAAATGGTAAGTGTATGAATGCTGAGCTTGGTAAGGTGATTACTATTGGACCGATTACGCTATAATCATTTTTATTGGACAAATATGTTTTAAAAGAAAACTATTGGCTAAATTTGATTGACGTTTTTTGAGGATTATTATAATAGATGGTATAGTTCTTAAAATCTTTTAAATAAATTTTAATATAATCATCATTTATATACATGATATATATTATATATAAATATATTTTTATTAAATCCCTCAAGGCATGATTTAAAACATTTTAGTATTTGTATTTTTTATTATTTTATCATGTAACTTAAATTCCGCTTAAATCATGGTAAATAACATATGTGTTTTATTTTATATTCATTTTTCGTCGGTATGAGTAAATACTGTCTTGTTAAAAAGCAATTATTCATATTCAATCATAATTTGATGATATAATATCTTTTAAAAAAAATTTTTCAAAAACATTTTTTTTATTTTACATAAATCAATTTTTAATTAATTAAAAAATTGATATTAAATATCAAATAATTTAAAATTCTATTTTTACGTAGTATTATTGGAAAAAAATATATTTACTAGCTTATAACAACTTAAATTTAATTTTTAATTACAAAATTTAACAAATTTAAATCCATAAGAGGGCGTTAAATACATAAATATGAAAATTTATTCTTAGGAAACCAGAATAAATATTGGATAGGGCTTTATTTGTTTTTGGGTGTAAATACATGTGAAAAACCTAAAAAAAAATTTAAAAAATAGAGGTTTCTTTGAGATTTAATTAATGAGTAGGTTTAGAATCGAAAAATAGTAGAAAGTTTGTAAAGAGCATATTGCTGGCGTTATTGATCAAAATCTCTTCATTTTTGGTTTATACGTGTATATTTAGGTGTTAAACATTATCCTAAAAAATATTTTGAAAATATTATGATTTGACCAAATGCCGAGCTTAAAACCGACCAATTACTAAATATTCGATCGATCAAATTTGGTGTTAATATTATTTGGAAAATGTTCATTTTTGGTTAATATATCTATAAATACGTGCAAATTATAATCCTAAAAATAATTTTAAAATATTATGATTTGACCGAATGGCGATCTCAAAACCGACCCCTTACTAAATATTCGATCTACCAAATTTGATAGTAAATATATTTGGAAAATATTCATTTTTGGTTATTTTATCTATAAATACGTGCAAATCATTATATTTTAAAAATTTCGTGATTTGACCTATAACCGATTTGAAACCGAAATACTGCCTTGCTGGCGTTATACATAGAAAATTCTTCATTTTTGGTTTATACGTGAACAATAACGTGTTAAGCATTATCCTAATTAATTTTTTAAAAATATTATGATTTGACCGAATGGCGAGCTCAAAACGGACCACTTACTAAATATTCGATCATTTGGTAGTAATATTATTTGGAAAATATTCATTTTTGGTTATTTTATCTATAAATACGTGCAAATCATTATCCCAAAAAATATTTTAAAAATATCGTGATTTGACCGATAACCGATTTGAAACCGAAATACAGCCTTGCTGACGTTATACATAGAAAATTCTTCATTTTTGGTTTATACGTGAACAATAACGTGTTAAGCATTATCCTAATTAATTTTTTGAAAATATTATGATTTGACCGAATGGCAAGCTCAAAACCGACCACTTACTAAATATTTGATCTACCAAATTTGGTAGTAATATTATTTGGAAAATGTTCATTTTTGGTTAATATATCTATAAATGTAAATCATTATCCCAAATAATATTTTAAAAATATGGTGATTTGACCGATAACCGATTTTAAACCGAAATACTGCCTTGCTGGCGTTATACATAGAAAATTCTTCATTTTTGGTTTATACATGAACAATAACGTGTTAAGCATTATCCTAATTAATTTTTTGAAAATATTATGATTTGACCGAATGGCGAGCTCAAAACGACCACTTACTAAATATACGATCAACCAAATTTGGTAGTAATATAATTTGGAAAATGTTCATTTAGAGATCTATATATACGTGTAAATCATTATCCAAAAAATATTTTAAAAATATCGTAATTTGACCGATAACCGATTTGAAACCGAAATACTGCCTTGCTGGCGCTATACATAGAAAATTCTTCATTTTTGGTTTATACATGAACAATAACGTGTTAAGCATTATCCTAATTAAATTTTTGAAAATATTATGATTTGACTAAATGGCGAGCTCATAACGACCACTTACTAAATATTCGATCTACCAAATTTGGTAGTAATATTATTTGGAAAAATGTTCATTTTTGGTTTAAATATATATATATATAAATCATTATCCAAAAAAATATTTTAAAAATATCTTGATTTGACTGAAAACCGATTTGAAACCGGCCCAATGACTAAATACTATCTTGCTGGCGTTATACATGGAAAATTCTTCATTTTTGGTTTATACGTGAAAAATAACGTGGCATTATCCTAATTAATTTTTTGAAAATAATATGATTTGACCAAATGGCGAGCTCAAAACCGACCACTTACTAAATATTCGATCTACCAAATTTGGTAGTAATATTATTTGGAAAATGTTCATTTTAATTTGAAACTGAAATACTGCGTTGCTGGCGCTCTCCATGTAGAATTCTTCATTTTTGGTTTATAAGTAAACAATAAGGTGTTAAGCATTATCCTAAATTTTTTTTTGAAAATATAATAATAAATTTTTAATCTCCAAAAAAAATAATTTCTATAAAAAATCATCCCTCCCCTCACCTCCATCGAAAATTCTCGGGTTCCTCTTGTTTTTTTATTTTATAAAATTTAAAAATTTATACAAAAAAATCCTAAAAAAAATAAAAATTAATGTGCATAAAAAAATAATAAACAAATAAATAAATAATTTTAAATATTTTCCGTTAAAATTTATTATTATTATATAATTATAAATATTCTTTTTGTGATAAAATGCCTGATTTCCTGCCCTATATGAAACGGTTAGTTTTATAAAATTATAAATATTAAATTTTTTTATATTAGATTAATAGATAGGCCATCTTCTGAGGTGGCTCTCGAAATTCTTAAAGAGATAAAAAGTGAAGATGTTGTGCCTATGATGTATCATTCTTCAAATGGATTAGTCGGGTATGTTGATGTAATTACTAAGCATATATTAGAGAGAATTCAACCAACAATATTATTGAAGTAAATATAAATATATATATTACAAAAACAATCAGAGACTTTTAACCTTGGCCCCGGGTATATGTAGCAGGCCATATTTTAATTTTTAAAATATAAAAAAGACAATGGCCGTACCAAAAAATTTTGTAAAATAAAAATTCTACCCGGGTTGGTATTTTTTTTCTCTACATTCTGGACTAACTCCGAATTGTAAAAATGCATCTCTTAAATCTATCGTTAAAAATATTTTACCACCCGTGATCCTATTTGTCAGATCGACGAAAGTTGTTAGTAAATCGTTATCTATGGCTAAATATTTGTTGATTGTTAAACAAAAATCTCCGCATATTCGCGGCGCCGGATTTCTTTAAAATATTAACCGGCGTAGCCCGAGTAATTGGAGTCTTTGTTGGATCCACTTTCTCGAATCCAGGCCGTTTAAAAGGAAAATCTGCTTTTATATGAATATTGATTAGATAATATGAACTATATTAAACTTTTATTTGAATCATTTTTAATTGTTTAAAAAATAATGAATATTTTTTTAAAAACAAACTATATTATTAAGATTTTCACCAAGGAAAACGATGGTGATGGAAATTGCCTATATCGTGCTGTGTCATTAGCAATTTTCGGTGAAGAAACGTACCACATTTATTTACGTATTATAGCCGCAATCGAGGTCATGCTCAATTAGGGACTTTTAAGATTTACAAAATGTTAATTATATTGTACCAGTTTCCATGAGAGAACGTATTTTATTTTATTCTTATAATCATACCTTAAATAACATACTTAAAATAGGGGATTGGTCGGGCATGATTATTATTTTCGTTTTAAATGGTGCTTTAAATACGCCTATTAAATCTTTTTGTCCCCCTTAATGATTTAATTTATTAAGCCCAAGTCCTTATACCCTTGATATATATGGTCGGGATGTTAGCAGATGTTCTGATATAAAAATTAACATGATGTGGACATCTTGTAGTATACCCGATGATATTTTAAATATTTCTATAAATCATTTTATTTATTTACAAAAGCTTAATTTCAACCCACGTGATAAAATAGTTAATAATGATAGTTCATTTGATACTATATCTATTAATGAATCCCATGATTTTATAACTATTACGGATAATGCTAAAAAATCGAATTTAAATTATATAAACTCTTCCCCAATTAATGATATCAGGGGTAATTATGATAAAAAATCTATTAATGAATCGCCTAAATTTATAATTATAAAATCAAATTTAAATAATATAAAATTTTTCCAAATTAATGATAATTATGATAAAAAATCTATTAACGAATCGCCTAAATTTATACCTATAAACAAATTTACATTATATAAACTCTTCCCCAATTAATGATATCAGCGGTAATTATGATAATAAATCTATTAATGAATCGCATGAATTTACTCCTATAAAATCAAATTTAAATAATATAAAATTTTCCCCAATTAATGATAATTATGATATAAAATCTATTAACGAATCGCCTAAATTTATACCAATAAAATCAAATTTACATTATATAAACTCTTCCCCAATTAATGATATCAACGGTAATTATGATAATAAATCTATTAACGAATCGCATGAATTTACTCCTATAAAATCAAATTTATATAATATAAAATTTTCCCCAATTAATGATAATTATGATACAAAATCTATTAACGAATCGCCTAAATTTATACCTATAAAATTAAATTTAAATAATATAAAA